TGCCGCTGATTGGGGGCAAGAGGGGGTAGTAAAGATTCTTTTGGAACGAGAAGATGTCAATCCCGACCGCGCAGACACCGACTATGGCCAGACACCAATCTCGTGGGCCGCTATGAGCGGGCATGAGGGGGTAGTAAAGATTCTTTTGGAACGAGGGGATGTCAATCCCGACCAGGCAGGCACCAAATATGGCCGGACGCCACTATCGTATGCCGCTGAGAGCGGGCATGAGGGGGTTGTAAAGATTCTTTTGGAACGAGGGGATGTCAATCTTGAGAAGGCGGACACCATATATGGCCGGACGCCACTCTCGTATGCCGCTAAGAACGGGCATGAGGAGGTAGTAAAGATTCTTTTGGAACGAGGGGATGTCAATCCCGACCAGGCGGACACAAGATATGGCCGGACGCCACTCTCGTATGCTGCTGAGAACGGGCATAAAGAGGTAGTAAAGATTCTTTTGCAACGAGGGGATGTCAATCCCGACCAGGCGGACACCTATGGCCGGACGCCACTCTCGTATGCTGCTGAGAACGGGCATGAGGAGGTAGTAAAGATTCTTTTAGAACGAGGGGATGTCAATCCCGACCAGGCGGACACCAAATATGGCCGGACGCCACTCTCGTATGCCGCTAGGAATGGGCATGAGGAGATAGCAAAGACTCTTTTGCATCGTGAGGATGTCAATCCCGACCGCGCAGATACCTTCTTTGGCCAGACACCACTCTCGTGGGCCGCTGGTAACGGGCATGAGGGGGTAGTAAAGATTCTTTTGGAACGAGGGGATGTCAATCCCAACCAGGCAGACACCTTCTATGGCCGGACGCCACTCTCGTATGCCGCTAAAAGTGGGCATGAGGGGATAATAGAGATTATTTTGGAACGAGGGGATGTCAATCCCGACTGGGCAGACACCGAATATGGCCGGACGCCGCTCTCGTATGCCGCGCAGAACGGGTACTCGGGGGTAGTAAAGATTCTTTTGGAACGAGGGGATGTCAATCCCGACCGCGCAGACACCGACTATGGCCAGACACCACTCTCGTGGGCTGCTAAGAGCGGGCATGAGGGGGTAGTAAAGATTCTTTTGGAACGAGGGGATGTCAATCCCGATCGGGCAGACACCTTCTATGGCCGGACGCCACTCTTGTATGCCGCTGAGAGCGGGCATGAGGGGGTAGTAAAGATTCTTTTGGAACGAGGGGATGTCAATCCCGACCGCGCAGACACCTTCTATGGCCAGACACCACTCTCGTGGGCTGCTAAGAGCGGGCATGAGGGGGTAGTAAAGATTCTTTTGGAACGAGGGGATGTCAATCTTGAGAAGGCGGACACCATATATGGCCGGACGCCACTCTCGTATGCCTCTAAGAACGGGCATGAGGAGGTAGTAAAGATTCTTTTGGAACGAGGGGATGTCAATCCCGACCAGGCGGACACCTTCTATGGCCGGACGCCACTCTCGTATGCCGCTGGGAATGGGCATGAGGAGATAGTAAAGACTCTTTTGCATCGTGGGGATGTCAATCCCGACCGGGCAGACACAAGATATGGCCAGACGCCACTCTCGTATGCCGCTAGGAATGGGCATGAGGAGATAGTAAAGACTCTTTTGCATCGTGAGGATGTCAATCCCGACCGCGCAGACACCTTCTTTGGCCAGACACCACTCTCATGGGCCGCTGGTAACGGGCATGAGGGGGTAGTCAAGATTCTTTTGGAACGAGGGCATGTCAATCCCGACCGCGCAGACACCGAATATGGCCGGACGCCACTCTCCTATGCTGCTGAGAACGGGCATGAGGGGGTTGTAGAGGTTCTTTTGGAACGGAAAGAAGTCCGCACGGACGCTCCCGATAACACGAACGAAACACCACTCTCAAGGGCTCTCTCCAAAAGCCATTATGGAGTCGCCAGCATACTGCGCGAACGGGGCACTGTCAACTCTAACACAGCACCAGATCCCGTTGCCTAGGTCTCCCTCCCGGCCTCAGCTGAGCATGAGGGCGGGTGCGGTGCGACTGCCACTCAGAGGTGATGTTCTTAACACCGATATCACGGAAATTAATTGCCAATATGCCCTCTCATCACCAGACTACAACGTCTGGGAGCCGGTGCCGAACCTCAACGACTCTCCCCCCAATCCGCGGACAGCGACCTTTCCTCAACTCAGCAGTCCAAGGCTGCCTCGACCCCTCCCGTGCGGCCCATAAGCTTCTGGTCCCTTCTCACGAAAGTTGAGACTTACCTAGCAACCCTGAGTCAGTTCTCACTTACGGTCGTCTGATAGACCGGTATATACCTTTTTCGTTTGCCCTTTGACTCTTGTTTACATTCTTCCTTTTTCGTTACCTGAAATATCCCTGTTCCATAAGTGATTGCCGAGCCGTGTAATATCCTTTCTTGTTCCTTACTCCTAGTATTCGTTATTTTTTGCATTACCTTTTTCCGGGTGGTGGTTATAGTACGGCCCATTGCGGGTGATGTGTGGAGGAATAGTCTAAGCTCAAAGACGCTCATCTTATATATTGGCGAGTAATTTATTCCGTCTCACCAGTTCATCTCATACCACCAAATGACCGCCATCGGCTCTCCTTTGCAAACCATCTGTAACACTAGTAGTAGTTCCGCTACTCCCCATCACTAGTGGTGCCCAAATTTGTGAAATGAAACCCTAATGTTAGCGCTCTCAACACCCCCGTTTCTAATATCATGCCAGCGAATGTCCATGCTTGTATTAACACAGGGCGAGGACATATCTTGCATGGTTTGGTCTATCGCGCAGCAAGTGCAATACCGTGAATTCCTGATGAACTCGACCCGGCGCTATATTCCTCAAGGCAGCCTTCAGTTCTCTTAAGGCCCAATCCTACGGCAAATTTCCTTTTCTAGTGACAGTAGGTTCCAAACAGAGAATAGTGGCAGGTCGAGTTTGCCCAGAATTTACCGTAGCTAATTTACCCCGAACCTACAGTACGCCGCTCATAAGACCTTCAGGGAGTAAGCATAGATCACTCTACAGCCCCGGAATATCCTGTGAGCTATCGCCCCACCCAGGGTTTCAGTAACCCCGGTAACATAATCCCATAACGCCGGAGTATGGCCCCTGTGTGTAGGAGATAGATTGAACGAGGGTTTATCGGGGTAAACAAATTGAAGTTACCGGGGAGAGCTGTGATAGTTGAAGAGCTTTTCGGGAACCCTCTTAGGGTAATAAAAATCAGTTGGCCAGGACAACACCATTCCTGCAGGACCATATCCTAGAGAGCCGGCCGGCCGGATGTCTATTTTTCCTTCCTTTATGACCCAGGTTTTTCAAGATTGTCGAGAACACAATCCCATCTTTTGCCTTCAACAACCCGTTCGATACCCCGGAAATGTTCTAGTCACCAATCCTATTCCTAGTATGATATCATACATAACCAACGCAAGTAAAAAGGATATAAATTCCCACGCTTCATCTTGCTAATGCAAACAAAACCTTACGGTATCTACTCCAGTGGAACCCAAAACAAAAACCCACTATTTCCCCAAAACGCACAGTTATAAAATCATTCTTGGTACTCCCTCTAGCTCTCTATAGATATCTCCTCTCCCCCACCTCCAAATCCTTCTTTCCTTCCCATGGAATTTGTATGACTGTTGCGGAGGAGCTCTGAGTCCGTGACGACCTCCCGAGCGCTCGCCCGCCGGCAGTGTCACAGCTCCTACAAGCGGTATTTACTGGTGCTTGGGAGCACAGGAACACCCCTCCAATGAGGGCGCCTAACAGGAAGAATACTTTAGCCCTTGGGATGGGTTCGGCTATCATCCGAACAACGTGGGTTGGCACCTCGACGTGGCACTTGGGCTTTCAACTGAGATCAGCCACGGTAGACTCGTAGAGGATCGGTATGTTTTGTTGCTCGTTTATCACATCCATTAAGCTCTGACCTGAGAGATTTCTCCGTAAGAAGTAGAGGCTGGTCTGTGAAACCTCCCCTAATACGAGCTTTGTATGCTCCGGAAAGCTTCACCGGATTTCAGAAAATGGCTGGGCTACTTCACACTGTTGAATATCCCGCGATTTTTACATCTCTTTAGCCAACAACTTTGTCGAATCTGCTTTTTCCATCGCTATTAATTCCGCTACAATTACCAAATTTTAATCTATTATTCAGATCCTACGTCCAATTCAATTTCCAGACAGTGCCATTAGCACCCGATTCACCGAGTTACGGATCCACATTGAGGACACCTAAATAACAATCTCGGTTCCTTGCCCATCTGGGCTGTATCCCGAGTCTTACCATTCACATATTCGAAGTCCTCCGGCATCCTCTATCGCTCATACTGAAGGAACGATTTCGGGTTCGTAGATGAAAATGTACTTTAACGGTATCATACTCGTGGTTCTCCCGCTAGTTAGTTGTTCCTCGCCCACAGGAATTAGAAGGAAAGGTTGGAGAAATTTCTCCTTACGATATATCATACATTGGAAAAACTTTCCTCGCTCTTCCCTTCGAAACAAACCCTTCTGAAAAACCAACACACACACCAAGAACCCTAAAACTTTCCAACATAATACAACAGAGTTGTCCACATCGGACAATATATATACATGAACTGAAAATCCCCCCTAACGATACCCTTCCCCGATCGTCCGTTCCGTCAACATCAGCCAATCATGGACCCTACAGCTTTTCTCTTTCTGCATCATGCTTGCGTCCGTAATGTACACACCCCTATCGTGCAGTGCCGCGTTTCCTCCGCATCGGTGATGTGTCGTAGGACCACTATCGACCTCCCTGAATCCGGTGGCGGGCCAAAACTTCTCGTACAGGAACCTGTGCCTCACTGTTATGCCGTTTTTTCCCTCTACCGACCCGCCCGGTGTTTCTATGATAGCTTGGTGCCTCGACTTGCCGCACGGCTTGGGCTGGGCGCTCCGAGTGATGGCGTGCGCCGAGAATGTTCACCGGGTCTCTTACGTTCGCGTGATGATCAATAGAACTTCACAAGGGTTTGTATACTCGATTAGAACTGAGTGCAACCCTTCCAATCTACAACTTTGCCACATCCTCCCTCCTAACCATCTCCGCCCCCTTTGACTCCCCCCCTTTCCCATCACCAGGAATCTCAATGACAATAGCCCACTCCTTGTCCCCCCTCTCGCCCAACCCCATGACCACTCTCTTCCCACCATCCAGCAAGCGGATAGGGTGGGGTTCCACAACCATCGCGCCAAACTCCCCATCCGCCATCTCAAGCACTTTTCCCCTTCCCCCCTCTCCCGAATTCTCCCCAGAGAGAAACTCCCCAATCCTCCAGACCAAATAAAACTGCGGCGGGAAGAACACCATTTCCCCATGCTCCGACATTTCTAGGGCGCGCGAGGGCGTCAAGTACCTCGCTGAGAGGACTTCCACCCCGCCGTCATGGCTGGGCACCTGCTTGTCGTCGACGAAAGTGACAAAGATCTGGCTTTTGAAGCGCCGGACCATGGTTTCGGGAGTTATCCATTTGGTGAAGGGGTGCAGAGCGCTGGTATTTGGTATTAAGCCGTATGACTGTAGGAAGGATGGGAATGTTAGTGTCGAGTCATGGATTGCCTTTCTGGCTTCGGCCAGCACTGTTGGGGTTAGGGTAGGTGGTGGGGGAGTAGTGGTTAGGAGAATGCCGGTTTCTTCGAATGTCTCGCGGAGCGCGCAGAGTTTTAGGGTCTCCAGCAGCGGCGTGGCCGGGGTGGAATTATCTTGTAGAGAGACAACACCCCCTGGGAAAACGTGGGAATTGGGAAAGGTGCTGGAGTGGGTGGGTCGGTGGACGAGGAGGAGCTCGTTTTGAGGGTTCAGTAGGATTAGGCTATAACGGGTTATCAGTTTGTGTTTGGGATTCGGGGGCAAGGGAGGGGTACCTTGCACTGAGTCGGGGAACAGCGGGGGTTTTAGGCGTCGCAGTGGAGGACATTCTAACTATATGGTTCTGGGGGGCTTTGAAAGTGTTGGTGGTAGTGGCGGTGAGACGAAGTATTGGTGGTTTTGCAAGGAAGAGATGACGGTGCACTAATTGAGGGACATAAGTTGTTCCGGCCCGCATCACTAATTATTTAGTCCCGGGAGGTCACGGCTTGCAGTCGAGTAGGTGTTGAAGGGATGCGAGTTGGTGGGGTGGGAGCCGGTATGGATATTTGCACATCTGGCTACCGAGGCTTTTCCGGGGAGCCGCAGTCTGATGTGGGGGGGGTTATTGTCGTGTGGGGAAAGTCCCAGACCACCGATATGGGGATTTTTAACACTCCTAGGCTTGTAGAGTGGGTCAGAGTAGAAATAGAATTTGCGCATTGGTGACCCCTTTTTAAAGGCTTGCTGATCCTAGGGATCTAACGCTTGCTAGTATCCCCGCATAGCGATGGCGTCGGGATCTTGAAGTACTCGAGTACGAGTAGTGGCGATGTTTGTTAATGTGGAGGTTTAGGCCTCTACTCAACCTGCACCTTACGAAAAATAGAGCGGCTATGGTATCTTGCTCGAGTACTCTCGTACGTGCTTCGCGAATGACTTACCGCTGTACTCGAGTACAGTACATCGAAGCAGGCTTGATATCTCGGGAGATTTAAATTTAAGGTGCAGCTCAATTAGCTTGATGCGTTATCGCAGTTTATCGCGAAACCATTGATACAGATCTCTGACCCATTGGAATAGTAGCCAATCAAATAATATTATCATATCAATCAGTAGTCTAAACCAATACCGGTACTATACTACTGCGATAGCTGTACTAGCACTGTATCACACTCGTACTTGCACTGTACTGTACCTGCAAATAGGGGCACAGTACTTGAATTCTCTCCTCCTGTTGCTATAATACCTCCTGATGCCAGCACAAAAGTCATTTTTATCTCTCCGCCCTCGCCTCCTTAAAGGGAAAGCCCATAAGCCCATCGCGAGTGGCCCGATTAACCTCCATTGTATTACTTCCTTAATGGCCTTCCCTACCAGCACGAGCACTGTAAAGGTCCTCCAATGCCAAGACATTAAACCTTGCTATTATCTTATCTTATCTTGTCATCACTCCACAATGTCATCCCACCCCACCATCTCTCACCCTCATCTCATCCCTCATCTCACCTTAATCCCGAGACCTCGCGCAGAAAACCAACCAACCGATATGCGATTGATAAAAAAATCAATAGAGCGCGACATGTCCGGCTCAGTGACTCTCTACCCCGAAGAGCCTGAAGATATGGTGCTTTGCTCCCCCCCAAGTCCCCTCTTTGCCGACAAGTGCTAACGAAGAACAGTGGCACGCCTTCAACCTCATCCGCCCAAACGATACGGTAAGAGCCCCTGCTGTCCGCCGCATAACTACGGAGTCCCGCACCGGTTCGACAAACAGCCAACGCGTGCACACGACCCTTACCATATCCGTGCGAAAAATCGACTTCGATGCTCAGGGCGGACAGTTACATATCAACGGGCAGGTGACGGAGGAGAATAAGGTTGTTAGCGTTGGCATGTTTCACACATTGGACTTGGAGCTGCACCGGAACTTCACACTTATCAAGAGCGAGTGGGACTCCGTTACGCTAGGGGTTGTCAAGGAGGCGTGCAATGCCGGGGACAGGGCGGAGATTGGAGCTGTCGTTTTGCAGGAAGGTTTGTTTGTTGGGGGGTTAGAAGGAGGGGAGGGGAAGGGAGTTCTGATTGGCTGATTTGGGGGGGGGTAGGCTTTGCGAATGTTTGCTTCATTACGGAGTATATGACTATTTTACGACAAAGAATTGAGGTTCCGGTTCCGAGGAAGAGGGTGGGATCAACGACCGGTTATGAAAAGGCGGGTTACTACCTTCCCTATATCGCGTCTCCTTGCTAAACGCAGCCAGGGCCTCCAAAAATTCTACGACGTAGTCTACCAATCCATCATCCGACACTTCGACTTCAGCGCCCTAAAGGTCATCCTCCTCGCCTCCCCGGGTTTCGTAGCCGACGGCCTAAAAGACTACATTTTTCTAACCGCCCTGCAATCTGATTACAAACCCATCCTCCATTCAAAAAAGAAATTCGTTACAGTCCATTGCTCAACAGGCCATATCCACTCACTCAATGAAGTATTAAAGTCACCAGAGGTCTCCGCGACACTCGCAGATACCAAATTTGCTAAGGAGACGAAGGCGATGGAAGCTTTCTTCGAGATGATGGTGAAAGACGAGTTTCGAGCGTGGTACGGACCGAAGGAGGTTGAGAGAGCAGTAGATAAAGGGGCTGTAGGAACCCTTCTGGTCAGCAATAGTCTGTTTAGGAGTAATAACGTCTCCGAAAGGAGGAAGTACGTACGGATGGTGGAGGATGTTAAAAAGAGTGGGGGTACATCGTTGGTGTTGAGCAGTATTCATGAAAGTGGAATAAGACTCGACGGGCTCGGTGGGATAGCTGCAATCTTAACATTTCCATTGCACGATCTCGATGAAAGTGACGAAGAAGAGGGGGAGGAAGGGGAAGGCGAGAAGGGGAAATCGGCGGAAAAGGTAGTAGCATAGAAGATGTTTATGATAGTGTCATGCCCGAAACGCCTATGTTACAGAAACCTGGTGATATGACATAATTTACACAACAAACCAAATCATCCAAAATCCACCCAAAACTTCTCACCAAGAAGTCCCTTCCCATCCCTTCTGCTCCTCAATCTCCCTCTTCTTCCTGCCAATATAACCAATGGCCTCCTCCCCGGCCCCAAACAAGAACCCAAAGAAAAGCCCCCGCTTAGCCGTCGTTACCGCCATCCCATAGGAAAACCTATCTTATCCCCCATTAGCTTACCTCCCCCTGTTCCCGGAAGAGAACATACTAATCCAGCTGAATACTCCCGCAACACTCAATCCTGCCACCACCCCTCCCCCCAGTGGCCCCAGCACCTCACCAACCACTCCGCCAGCAAGCACAAACCCGCCAACCCAGCCTGCAACCCGCACACCACTTCGCATGCCCTCCCGTGCGGCGCCCAGCATCGTGTAGTAGTTCTTGCTCTTGTGGTAGAAATACCAACCTCGTGTGGTCCGCGGGATCCGGTGCGCGTTCTCGGCGCGGAACACCAGTGCTGAGCGCTTTGCGCCAAGGGCGAGGCCGAGGGTGGTGCCGAGCATTAGGGATGGCAAAAGCGTTAGAGGGAGCTTCGCCGAGAGGGGGAGGGGGGTTGATTTTGTGTGGAGAGGGGAGTCCATGGTTTCCTTTCTTTCTCTCTTTTGGTGGTTAAGATTTTGCTCCGTGAGGTTGGGTGGGGAGTTATGGTGGTGGTGGGGGCTGGGGTTTGTTTTCCGTGGTTGTGAGGTTGCGGTTGTTGTGGTTGTTGTATGGCTACCGTATCATACCACAGTCATTAGTGAGGAAAGGAAGGAAATAAAATTATGGACGGGTGGTTGCATCCATCATGTTATTGTATCACACGAAATTTCGATAAATTTACCTAGTGAAAGTTCGTGTTACCCTGTTTTAATCCGGTGTCACTCGATTATTTGCCTGACCCTTCCTTAGCGGTCTTCCTTCAACCGCCCTCCCTCGCCTCGTCCGAAAGTATCATATCATAGTGTTAGGTATCATAGAATGAATCTAAGGGTTGTTTGTCTACACTGTGACTACATTTTCTTCTAGAGGCCCCGGCTAGCCGTCGTAACTATCATACACACAGCGAAAGCACACAATGCCACACATACCCCAAACAAGTAGTTGTCCACGCCTGCGGGCCACATATTAGCATGAGGAGGAAAAATCCATTCAATTCCCTTTGTGAAAGTTCAAAAACCGGGATAACTACGTTAATCTTTCAAAAAAAAAAAAACTTAAGAGCATAAGTTAGGTGGTTCCCTTTTTGGTGATTTTGATGGCCCGAGTGATTTTGAGTGAAGATGCCATCCCACCCGGCTAACCCGCCGGCAGATTTGACAGCTAAAAAACTATAAATTTGGGATTGCTGTTGGAAAGACAGAGACTGAAGGCGCCTTTATGTGGTCTGGAGGATATTGGGGTCTCATAGGCTAATTGGAATCTCGTAACTTGGTAGGGATAGTGGGGTGGTGTGAGAATATGCCTGCTTGCCAGATGTTTTTCGTAAAATACATGTTGGTATTACGCCCCCCGCTTGTTCAACCCAGGAGAAGCGCACTGAAATGTGTTTTAAATACCTTTACAGATTTATCTTCGTGTCCTATAGGCAGTTCCATATACGAGTAGTTCAGGTTTTTTCTTTCTTCGCTGCTGGAATAGTTATTTGGCACGAAACTAGCCTTCCAGGCCCTCATTGTGTTCCTGTGCTCAGATTCCCCCGCCTTTAAGGATATCTTGTCCCCGCCTCCCTGGGTAGCTCTTTCCTTTGTTTGGAATGGAAAAAAAGGTCCACGAATCTCCCCACACTCCCAGCCTTTTTTCAGTGAGATTGCAGTATCGGGGCAGCTCTGGCAGGATATCTCATCCCTCCAGTCTAATCTGGCCCTCCACTAGCACAATACAGCCCACCTGCGTGGCCTTCACTCTTAACCCCCCAGTGAGACCACGTGGGCTTATCAGTCATCCCCCCTCCGGAGGAAAGTCCTAAAACCCCCCCCCCAAAAAAAAATCCTATAAGTACCCTACTTCTTCCCCCTCTTCGTCGTCTCCTTTCCCTCTCTCCCCACCCCCAAGAAAATTTCTACCCAGGACATTTCCTACAGAAAATTTTGACAGCAGATGATCGATTGGAACGGGAGTTCCTCCTCTTGTCACTCACCCTTTTCTTCCGATGCCATTGCTTCCGCTTCCTCACTACCATTTATAATTTATAATGATAATGGGAAGTTGGAGGAGGGGTCGTTCTATGACTTTCCTCCAGCGTAATTGTTGGGGATTTGCACTCCCCTCCCCCGCGCTGCATCTCTTAGCCCCTTCATGACATTGCTTTCCCTTCTTTATGAATATTTGCAATGATGATAGGAAACTGGAGGGGGTCGTTCTACGGCTTCACTTCCACCTAACTTCACGGCGATTATTTGGCGTTTGAGGTTTGTTTTTCTTTCTTCCTTTTTTCCCCCAGCTGCTCGATTGCTAACTGTGGGCAGTGATTTTATTTGGGCAATTATGCTTCTCGCTCTCAGACCTACGGTTTGTTTCCCCTCACCTAGCGTTCGAGACTTGGGTTCATGGTTTAAACTCAAAAGATTCAGAACATTCCCAATAAATCATGGACCGTTTAAAACAGCACATTTAATTTTTTATGCTATATTTCCCTTATTTAGTAAGCCCCTTCTATTTAATATTGTTCACTCATCCTCAGCCAACCACTTACCGTTGGGCAGTGAGTTTGGAGGGGCCCTATGGGGTCCAAGTTCTGTCTTCCCGCTAACGTGGGTGTGGTAACCCCCCCCTATTACTCTGTATCGTATCCTAAGGCAACGGGAATATCGAGTGAGAAGGACCTCATATTTGATTGACGGGGAGATGTCTGTTGTCGACTCAACCCTAACTTGAAGGTATACCTGGATTAATTTTTACAATTAGGGCTATTTGTTCTCTCTCAAATATCCCAAAATATTCCTCAATAAAACCCTTGGAAATTGGTCAAGTAAGTATCATCCGGCCTTTTATTTCTTTTATTCATATGGCTCGCTAACTGATGTCTGTTCTGACAATAGAAAGCGGCTCTGACAGAGCTGGTCTCTCCGGCGGATGCACTCGCAGCTGATGTCGTCTGTTCGGGTAAATCTTATTTCAGTTCAGGTCTTTGATGTCTGTACACTTGCTGATACATGAGATTAATCTAGATTCTATTTTATGAATTAGTGGCGCAAATAATACAAGTAGATATGTGTGAGTGACTTTGTCGGCGGAACAAAACACCTCCCCCCACAAGGAACCAATTGATTTTTGTACGTGAAGGAAGAGAAGGAGAACAGAAGTACATTTTTTGTTTGTAAACGAAAGGAGGAAAAGGAGAATAGAATAGCATTTCTAATAATAATATATTATCACAGTATTAAATTATTATGTAATCAATATTTACAACTCAAATTCAAACGTGCTTCTATTAGTATCATAATATTATGATACGTCTATGATTCTATTTTTCTCAGTTATTAACTTGGAAAATAATGCGGTAACCTAATGGGGCAGGTGGCTTTGCCAGGCGGCCTCGCTGTGGCATCAGATTCGGATATTCGTAGAGTTATTCCTTCCCAGACGGTTGTTGTGTCTTGTCACGTGTTCTGCCTCTAATACGTCATTACTGAACACTTAACCCCCCCCCCACCAAAGCTATTAAAATACCAAGGGCGACAACTTTATTCTCTATCCCACCTCCTTTCACCCTATCCGCAAATCAAGTACAAACAGCAAAATAACAATGTTTCTTCAGACCACCATCCGCCCCTTTGCAGGAAGGACTCTCTTCCGCTCTTCGACGAAACCATCCACTCGTACCTTCACAGCCCTCCGTTCGCCCATCCTCCGACAGGCAATCACCCCCGTCCGCCACCAACTCCCAAAGACCCAGTTTGCCACAAAACGTTTCTTCACGGCAGATCCAGCGGTCGTCGCTCGTCCGACTAGGCAGCAGAGTATTCAAAAGCTCTTGTATGCAGGCGGAGTATTTGGCGGCACCCTTTTATCGATCAATCTTTTGTTCAACCATGAAACCCGCCAGGGCACCATTCCACTATATGAGCGTGCCTATCTGCAGGAAACGTTCACTTACACTGGTCTCGGGGTCGGTATGATAGGTCTAGCGGCGAAGGGCCTGCACAATATGGGGTGGAGCTACCGGCTTATGAGCATGAACCCATGGCTCATCATCGGTGGCGGCCTTGCTGCGTCAGTGGGGACAATGTTCGCCACTAGGGTTACAGATCCAGACAAGTAGTTCCTCCCTCCCCCTTCCTTACTTCCCTCCCTCCCCCTCCGCATTAACAAAACTAGCTACATCCAAAAACACATCCTTTGGTCCGCCTTCAACCTCACCAACGCCGCTGTCCTCGCCCCCCTCTTCTTCTACAGCCCGGCCATCCTTGCCCGCGCGGGCCTGTACACCGTTGGCATAATCGGTTCAATATCATTCGTCGGCGCCACGGCCAAGGAGGACAAATACCTCTACCTCGGCGGCCCGCTCCTCGCCGGTGTGGCTGTCGTGGCACTCTCCAGCCTTGCGCCCTTGGTCCTGCCCCTCGGCTCCCGAGCCCTGATGGCGTCAGAGTCTATCTCCGTGTACGGTGGGCTCGCTGTGTTTGGTGGGCTCACGCTGTACGACGTGCAGAAGATCATGAATAATGCGCGATTGGCGGAGCAGGGCCTCATCAAGAGGGATACGGTCAATGAGAGTATTAGCCTTGAGTTGGACTTTATCAATATTTTCATTAGGCTCGTGCAAATCCTTGCGAGCGGTCGGCAGAATCAGCGGTAGACGCAAAATGAGGCCAAGGGTGGTTGCATTTTGGGCATATCTCTTTGGAGGGTCGAGCTATGTCGATTCCTATCATTTTAGTTGGTGGCGGCGGTAATAGCGCTTTCTGTGGGGGGGGGGCTAATGTACTGGTACTATTTTTTGCCTGGCCCTCGCTGGACTCTCTACTCGTTTCTTTTGTTACTAAATCCCAAATGTCATGCCATAGCCTTCAATCGAGCTATAGTATCGTCATATCGCGGCATAACACATGCAACCAAACTCCTCAATACCTTAACAATACGTGACATTAATAAATAAATAGATGCGGAAAAAGTCAACCCCAACAAATCGCCACCACTATAGGCTCAAACACTCTCGAACTTCGAAACCTCCACTTGGATTCCCCCGCCAAAAACGCCCAAGGCGGCATACACATCCCACCTCCCATCCAAGCCAATCTTGGGATCCCCACCCCTCATGGAGTCGATGGAGTCAACCTCCTCAGTAATCTCCCACCCACCAACCCTCTTCCCGTTCCTCTCAACCCAAACCTCCCCCCCTCCTCCCCCTACTCTCCCAGTGCCAAAAGTCATACCAATGCCCACCGTCTCCCCAACTCTCCACGGCGCCTCCATGAACTCGCTCCCGCCAAACGCATTATTACAATACCTGTGTCCGTCATCCCCGTGCACGGCCAGACTCCCCCTGTTCCATCCCGGCAAGCGGAAGGGCGGGTACGGCTTCGCGGCAAAGCCGATGGCCACAGCGCCCTTATCGGCCCGGCGTGGGAGGCGAAGCAAGCGGACCTCGAAGTATATGTGCTTGGGCGAACCCGTGTTGGCCGGGTGGTGGAAGCCAGCGGCGTACAGCGGCAGCGAGGACAGGAGGGCGGTGTCCGGGCAGTTGGAGGAGGTGGACACGATCGGCAGGCCATTTTCCGGCGAGCTGGCCACCGTCACGTGGTTTAAGTAAGCCTTGTAAGGGGGGACGACGAGCGTTAGTGCACCCCTGGAGATCTCCTCCAGCGACGCGGCTGTCAGGTGCTGCGGCGGCACGAGCGGGTTCTCGTCGCAGAAGGTGAAGCCGGACTCCGCGAGGGCGAGCGGGGCGTTCGAGGTCGGGCTCACGTCGTGCCGGATTGCCGGTGGCGCCGGCGGCAGGTCCGCTGCCGAGGCGGAGGGGGTGAACGGTGGTGGCGGGTCAGCCATGCTTGAGGGGTGTTCGGTGTAGGGTGGCACTGGCGGATCGGGAGTTTTGGCCAGTTGTTCGGGAGTGCGCTTGGGCGGTTGATGTACTCGGGAAGTTGGAGTTGGGGGGAAAGAGTTGTTGGACTTTTTATTACTGTGGCCAAAACACATCTCTTCTCTTCTCTTCTCTTCTTTCTTTTTGAAAAAACCCGTTTGGAAGAAAGGAAAAAAGCTTGTTCACACAGCAAAAGGGAACGGGAACTTACCCCCTCCTAATATATATACCCCCCCTTTCCCCTTCTTCATTCTCCTCCCACACCATCATCACCGCTATTTTATTGGAATTATCATCATTATCTCACAGCCCCACTCTCGGTTATGACGTTGCAACGAACACAACCCCATGATACCTTTTTTCCCTATCGTATCCAAACTTACCCAGCCCCCCCTCGCACTCGAGTAAGTAAGTATGATGAACCGGTAATTACCTCAACCTTGACTCTATCCTATAAAGCACCGTACTGTGCTCGCTCATAAAGTCCAGTACCGGGAAAAAGCTACTCACACAAGTACACTCCAATATGAAGAAGAAAAAGGAAAAGGAAACAAAAATCAATCAACTCAACCACCCACGAACGAAACGAGTGAGTGAGCGAGCCATAGTCTAACATGAGCCCGCACGGCATTTCACCCACTCACTCATAGAGCATCCACAACGACATGACACCACCTACGAGTAGTTCTATCCCCCGGGCCAGCTCAGTTTTGGTGGAAAAACCGATTGGGTGGTACTAGCCGGTGAGCCCAGTCGGCCAGACGGTCGGTTTTCGGTCGGTAGATCTACCCTTACTTTATGGTATCGTATGCGGATCTTGGAGGGGAGTTCCGGAGCGGTCTCTCTCCGGGGATGTCGTAATTTGGTGTAATGGATATGATATAAGTAATAACTTAGGAGGGGTTCTTCTTCTTCTTCTTGACCTTCTTGGTTGGGTTAAGTTAGTTGTGGTGTGTGCCCTGTGTGGTGTGGAATTGTGGTTCTGTAATATCGAGTACGGTGTACTGTACTCGTAAAAGGTACTGTACCTCGCCGTAACGTGGCACTGTACATGTACGGTACTCGAGTACTGGTTGTGGGCTGTGCATACGACTATGCGTGCATATATGTGCGTGCGGCAAGGCGGTATTTTACGAGTGCGATACGAGTACTGTACGAGTACTCGGGTAAAGTGTGGGGTTGTATGCTATCCTATGCTACATGTAGTACGGTATCGTACCGGCAGGGCAGTCTGCTGCCGGGTGGGTGGAGGTGGCGAGGATGGAGACGGGTTGGATAAGGCATTAACTATGATACCGGTCTGGCAAATACCAGTAAGCTCTTCGGCTTTGCATATCTCTGCAACCGCAGTACTAGGCCGCCTGCCATATCAAACAATCAAATCTGCAAACACGTGATTTATTGATATATCAACACAAACCCGGATACTGGTGGACTGCCCAAGTACAGTACGGCAAGTGAGTAGGCAAAGCCAAGTTACGAAAAAAAGAAAAGAGAAAAACACCTCCCCCTGTGGAATCCGCATTTCATTATTATCACTGTAATCTAGTCCTCCTCTTGCTTAACCAACTCGCTTCGAACATTATCCAAATCCGGTGGAATCTCCTGCAACTGCACGCTCGGCGCTCCGTCGATGAAGCGCAGCTGCTCCATGATCTTCACCTTCATACTTTCCAGGTACTTCCTTGTGTTCTTGTTTTCGTACTTCCCTTCCTTACTAAGGGGTGGGTGGAGTTTGTAGTCTGGGCCAAAATACTCCCGGTACGGCGTTCGTGCTGGTAGGTCATCTTCGATCTCCGCGCCTACGCAGATTCTGCGAGGGTGTTAGTGCTTGAATTTGTAATGGGGATGGGAGGGTATGTACGCTGTTTCATACGTCCATAACCGCGATACGTTGCGTGGGGTGTATCCGCCTCCGCCGAGGACGAGTAACGGCAGTCCGAACGCTTTGACGAATTCTACGCATTCGCCGTGCGCTTTGATGTTGAGGTTGAAGCAGCCGAGTTTGTCGCTTCCTAGCGAGTCCGCGCCGCACTGGAGGACAACCGCTGTTGGACAGTACTTTTCTATAACCGGTTCTACAATCTGCTTAAATAATCGAACGTATGACTCGTCATCGATGCCGTCTTTCAATGGCACGTTCAGTGCATAGTGTTTTCCTGCGCCGCCTCCGATGTCGTCCCAGTTGCCTGTCCCGGGAAAGAAATTGTCCTTGTCGTACTTGTGCAGGGAAAGTGTCATTACCCGATCCGTTGAGAAGAACGCTTGCTCCACACCGTCTCCATGATGGACGTCGATGTCGATGTACAGTACTCGGGGATGGTATCGGAGGAGTTGAAGTATGGCTAGGACGATATCGTTGATGTAGCAAAACCCGGAAGCTTCTGATTTCTTGGCATGATGAAGGCCTCCGGACCAGTTTATCGCTATATCCGACTGGTGGTTAATGAGCTTCTTGGCAGCATCGAGAGAGGCGCCGGCGTATAGGCTGCAGTAATCCCAGATGCCGTCAAAGATCGGACAGTCATCGCCGATGTTGAACTTTGAGAGGTCATTGGCAAATTCTTGAGTGTTGTGAGGAGTTACCCTGGCGGAAAGGTTAGTATAACACTCGGACTGGGTCCACGAAACTGAGTGTGAACCTGATCCGGAGAGTTCAAGCCGAATCTCACCGTTTCAAGAACTCCAGATAATCATCTCCGTGAAAGTCCTTGAGCTCGTCCTCATTTGCCGGTCTTGTGGCGTAGGTGTCCATATGTTTATGCAACCCATATCCGAGAACTAGTTGGTTCGTTAATGTGAGCCTCCACGGTTTCATGGGGTGAGCTGCGCCAAAGTGGTGGTTTTCGGCCCTGGCGTTGTGGTGGTAGGAGACCTAAAACATGTTAGCTTAGGGATCGATTCCAAGTAAGTGGTTGCGACAGACTTGCCTTTACTTTTAGTCCTGGAGCTTGTTCGAGTACGGGCATGCTGGCCGCTGTTCTGGCATCTAGAGATATGGTGGAGTTTCCATTTCGATCCCACGGTTCAACGATTGACATTCCCGGAGGTAGCGAGCTTGTCAAAGTCCGACTAATCCGCAAAATTGATCACACTTGACGAGAAGGTCTCGGCGAATTCGTGGTGTTCCGAGAAAACAGGGAGATGCTGTTGTATCAAAGGCGAAGTGGTGACTTTTTGCGTGTAGACTGTGCAAGGCTTGGAGGGTTTGGTTTGGGGTCGAGAGCAACCGGCGGCCATGAATAGACTATCCTCGTGTGGTTACGCCAAGCTTTTATCCTATGATATCACATGACAGGGCAGCTAACTTGGCACAATTTGAGCCTCACCCTTACTCTTCAACTCCAACGTCACCACATCCCGTCACCAAGTCCCAAACGCCACTTCAACTCCCAGCACGCTTTTCAATCCCGCTATATACCCTTCCTCTATTCCCCCGAGACAGCCCATCATATCGCCCTTTGCCCCGAGCCAAAAACCTATAATAATCATGGCCGAAGACGCCGCCACTGTGCTGGAACAGTTCATCCACGACGGTACCAATAGCCCCTTTATTTCTTCCTTCTTTTTTGGGAAAAAAAACTAACTTTACTAGTGGCAAATCTGCCGGCTGAAATTGCCCACATCTATGAGGAAATTCAGGCGAAAGATCGCATCTTGAAGGAAAATCGAGATGGCGCCTTGGCACGTGACAACAGCTTGCAGAAGCATATAAAGATGCATGGAAGTCACGTGGAACACCCCAAAGAGGCACTATATGTCGAGCAGATCAAGAAAGCATACGAGAAAATCAAAGAAATTCAAGACGAGAAGGTTCTATTAGCACACAAGGCTGACGATCTGGTAGCATTGCATATTCTCCACTCGCCTGCGAAACTCTCACTAACGATCAACAGGTTGAGAAACATATGAAACGTCTCGATGCTAAAATCACCGACCTTACCCGCGACGGCCTCATGCCCCCAGATTCTCTCCTCCCATCCCCATATCTCAAGAACCTCCCCGTCTCCGCGTTCGCCCCGCGCCAGCCTATGATGCGCGCATCTCCGATGCACACCGCACGTGTCCCCTCTCAGCACCCCACCGCTAATCCAACACCAGCTGTTCCGGCGCATATCACACCGGCCGCGACACCGGTTGCTTTCCCTGCCCCCCAAAATGTGTCTACCCCCCGCGACTCTCACGAAAATAAGCGGCGGCGGCTGACGGCGCCCCCTAATACAGTCCCCGCCACCTCCTCCAATCTTGCGTCGCATCCCTCGACCCCTGGGATCCGGCCGGACCCGCTGGGCCAAACCAGGAGATCCAGCACCCCTAATGTGAACATGAAGAAGCGCAAGAATCCGCCTAAAAGAGAGCTGCTTTCTGAAGAGGACGACGATGACGACGATGACGAGTTAGATGAGGAGGGTGGTGAGGATAAAAGGCTTTACTGTACTTGTCAGCAGGTGTCTTATGGAAACATGGTTGCCTGTGATGATGGGGACTGCCCATATGAGTGGTTTCACTGGGGTATGTCGCCCCCTCCGTTTCTTGCCCTTCATGTCCATTGCTCACTGGCCGATCATTGCAGCCTGCGTAAACTTAACAAAAGAGCCTCCGGGGAAATGGTTTTGTCCTACCTGTACCCAGCGAAGGGACAAAATGAAGTCTATGAGGGGGTAGCCCATGGCGTTTCCTGGTATGGCTTTTTTTTTTGCACCCTTTAGGTTAGCTGTTCCTGTACCATAGTTGATATAATCTCGCATCGAAGGGGCGTTATCATCTTGTATGTTTTCGGTGCGCCCCGGAAAGGGGACTGCTTGGACCAGCATCGTTGCGTGATAGTGTTTGAAACAAATTGTGCCATAATATCCTTCATTTTTCCCCCCTGGAGTTTTACGAGTAGGGGCTTGTGGTAAATTATATTATTAAATTTTCGGTTTCGCAATGCTTCAGACTCCAGCAACATGGTGGCATCCCTTACTCTAGATAACGAATGTCTACTGCAGTAGAATAGTTGACATCGTTGTTGGAATAATGAAGCACGATAACCAAGTGATTCTGAGGAATCGTTGCCAACCCTAACCTTACACTACCGAAAAATTTGAACCGGGTCACAGAAATTATAGCGGGTCAGGTCGTTATGGGGGCTCAATGGATAAAATCACTTGCTGTTTTGTTAACCTATGCGTACCGGTATGATACCCAACAAATGCTGCGTTTCGGAATTGTTTTTAGAATCCCATAAAGTGGGCTCTAATAAAGTATCAACGATAATTGCGTTTGGAATCCCGTGATTGCGTGACGCGAGATATGTTCGAGTAGTAAGGGGTCTCATCAGTTTCCACGAGAACACATTACCGGCACCAAAATTTAATTATCTGCCGTATTTGCGACATCGCCCGCATCATCACTCTACCGCGCCGCTGGTAGCTCTCTGCATGTTCCACCTATCCATGTGCACGCACACCACCGGTTCCCACGTTACTCCATTATGATCCGCCGCCGCTGCTCCCGCCTAACACTCCTCTCACTCCTAACCTGCACGTTCCTGTTTTTCAACCTGCCCACCCTCCGCCCCCTTCCTCCGCCGCCCTCCCCTTCCCCCTCATTAGATACTGGTCGCATCTTCATCGCTTCCAACCACTGGAACTCGGAATCCATTCTCCGTTCGCACTGGTCCGACGCCGTCACGCGGCTCATCACCCGCCTCGGCGTTGAGAACGTGTACTTTTCGCTGTATGAGTCTGGTAGTTGGGATAACACCAAGGGTGCGCTACGCGAGCTCGATGAGCGATTGGAGAAGTTGGGCGTTGAGCGGAGGGTGATCCTCGAGGAGACGACCCATGCGGATGAGATCTCGCGGACCCCGAGGGTCGGAGAGGAGGGTTGGATTGTCACACCGAGGGGGAGGAAGGAGTTGAGGAGGATCCCGTACCTGGCTCGGGCTAGGAATAGGGTTCTTGAGCCATTGTTGGAGCTGCAGGCTGGAGGAGGGAGGAATGGGAGCTTTGATAGGTTGTTGTTTTTGAATGATGTTATTTTCACTGTCCGTCCACGCCTAATTCGCTCGATGTGTTGGCTGTAGGCTGATTTGTGGGGGGGCAACAGGTCGAAGACGCGTTAAATCTACTAATCACCCGTAACGGCGAGTACTCCGCAGCTTGCTCACTAGACTTCCTAGACAGTACTAAATTCTACGACACTTTTGCACTCCGCGACATTAACGGGCGTCCCGCCGCAAGCTTGTCCTACCCGTTTTTTGCATCCGGCCCCTCCCGAGATGCTCTTCTCGCAAACCTCCCCGTCCCTGTCCGCAGTTGCTGGAACGGCATGGTAGCCTTCGACGCAGCACCCTTTCTGCCGCCTTCTAACCTCCGCTTTCGCGGTGTGCCCGACTCATTGGCGAAATGGCACGTTGAAGGGAGCGAGTGCTGTCTTGTACATTACGATAACCCCGTATCTGACAAAGGCGTCTGGCTGAATCCGAATGTTAGAGTGGCGTATAAAGCGAAGGGATGGGAATTGGTTCGGCGGGGGGTTGGGTGGCCCGGGAGGTGGGAGAGGGTGCGGGGTGGGGTTGTTGGGGTCGTGACGGCTGTGTTGAGGTTACCCAGGGGGAATGGGAAAGTGGCGGGGAGGATTCGGGAATGGGGAGGGAGCGAGCCCGGGGTTGATTGCCTGATTGACGAGATGCAGGTTTTGGTGGATAACGGGTGGAAGCATTTGTAGTGGATCCCCCACCTTTTTATTTCTCCCGCCTCTGAGTTTAACGTAATAAATTTCATGACTAGTGGTTAACTTGGAAACCGGATATTGCCAGGGTATTCAAATTCTGGGGCAGGGAGGAGTGGGGACTGAGAGTGAGGGTAGATATAAAAGCGACCGTTTACAGTACCTGGAGGCTTGTAAATAACTACTTTGGTAAGAGTGTCCTGCTACCGTCTATGAAACGCTATGCACTGTACCGTCGGCATAAAGCAATGTGGGATTATTCTAGAAATCTTCGAACGCATTATATTACAGGTGTTTGTAAACCCCCCCTCCTCTTGGGCCGGAGGAATTCAGAGAAGAAAAATAAAACAATCGACTAAGGTCCAAAACTGAAAATCATAATAGTTAGAAGGTAGGCACCCCTCCACAGAGGGAAATGCAACTGGGGCCTGACCCTCGAGGAGAAGGAAAGGAAGGAAGATATCCATTCTACGAAATATTTCACATCGTTATATTCCTTCCTTCTCAACTATGGGCCTTGGATCGCCTTTGACGGGGGGATGGGCGGGAGAGCAGACTCTATTAGAGCACGACGTGGATTCTCTCTTTGGAGTTAGCTTACTCGGGTGTACTGTTTTTGGGAAAATATTTTAGTATCATATCTCTAATTACCTTCCGCTCTTGGGAGGCGCTTTGGGAAGGTGGGGTGGGTTCTATCCTCCCGTAGGGGCTCCGACCCGGTGATATGCTATGACTATTCGCGATCCCGGCTCGAGGCGTGAAGGCCCGGCAAGTCGCTGACACGCGGGGCCGTACGGCGATATCGGCAGTATATGCCTAAGCCTCGCACGAATTACTCTCTGGATGGTCTGGATGGCACTGTCGATTCCTCTTGTCAATCGTGCACTGTAACTAGTTACTACTATCATAGCTATTTCGCTGTGAAACTTGCTACGACCAGGTTACCCCGGGTATGGCGGGCGGGTATATAGGTAGGGCGGATGCGCTGCCATTTATTCCTTTTCTCGGTGTGGTATCTATCATACTTTTATGCTCTGGGTGTGGTAGCTTGTGGCGTTAAGTGATTTGTGTGAGTATTTGTGGAGTTGCAGCTCATGTAAGTTAGGGGCGGAGGAGGGGTACGGCAGGATGACGGGGTTTACATTATTGTTCATTTGTATATATTTATGTTTCCGGTTAGTTTATCGTAACTTGAGACAAATGTTGCGAAGAATCCTCCCCTTGGGTGGTCGAGCCCGGGGGGTTAGAAGGTGAGGTGGGGGATTGAATTAGACGAGGGAGGGTTCTCCGCTCTCTTGGTCAGGGGAAAAAAAAACTGTGTAGTAGTAGGCGGTCTGGAAGAGTGTCCTAGGTTGTGCGGGAGCGAGTAGCGAGGAGTTGTAGTGGCTAGCTACAACTATGGTACAAGTACTATTTAATCTTAAGTTTTATTCCTCCTATTTCGCTCTTTTAGCATAATATAGTAATCACGAAAGATCTTACAGTGAGAGAAGCTGTACAGGGTTTGCTTGATTATCAGGTTTTGTAGGGACTGCTTTTTGGCTCTCGGGTTATGTGCAGTCTGCATGGTCCTTGACCCTGCCGTTCCTTCTGTTCTCACACAGGTGGTAGGGGGTGACATCTGATTAGGGAGCTATCATATGGGTGCTACAGCTTGTATATGAACGCACTATGTGAGGTTAAGGGGAGGAAATTGGGGATCTTTGGGTCATGGGGTGAGGTTCAACCACTCTGTAAAACTGTTCGATCAGATGGAAATTGAACACAAAGGAGTAGCTATGGTCATAAACTTCTCTTGTCTCACTCCCCCTAAACCAGCTGTAAAGGCAGGAGCATAATATTATATAAAACATAAAATCATCCTGATCCTTAAATGGATACCGCTTATACATCATGTTCCTCTGTGAATCTCCCGGTTACCTCACCTGCTCGCATGGCAGCAATGAAGAGGCGGCCATGAAGAACCTTGAACAAGCCACATCATTCCTATAACCACTGTGACCAACTCCGGCTCACTATTTTCCATCGGCTCTGAGATCCCCTGGTGGATTAGTAGAATTGCACAGTTAGCAAGTATTGTCCCCTTTAGTTTCCTTTTTTTGATGTTTGTTTATAGTTATAATTTTTTCTTGCTTTACCGGCCAAATAAGTTTGCCATATTCTGCTCCTGTCGTAAGTTGATAGTTGACAACTCTCAAGCCCGAAATTCCACCAGACTCCCAACTGACCGGCCCACTAACCCCTAATATGTATTCTCAGATTACGAACACTTCTGCAGGGTCGCTATAGTATATAAAATATTCTCTTTTCGGGCACCTATTTTTCTATCCTGTTAGCATGCCATGCTACTTGAGGTACGATACGCCCATGCCAGGAATACAGCCCAGAAGCCATCTGATTTCAGGCTCCAACAGCTCACATGCAACAGTCCAAGACTGGAAAGGCGAAATACACTAGATATTAGGAGGAATAAAGACGCATGGGCAGTAGTGAGCGCTGGGATGAGAAACAAAAAGAGAGGTGTTGCACTGCTTTTTATTATCCACATAGTCCTAAATACATATCATCCAAATCACACAATTAAAACCCAGATTAAATCTCATGTTCAATTTGTGATTTGAAGTGGCATTGCCAAACACCCCCTGGCTGTCACTCAGCATCAGTGCTCCCAGCCATCCAGTCTGACGACCGTCGACCGCCATCCATGTGCGACTGGACGGGACGGGACTAACCCCGTCAGATGGCAGTCGATTATGATGGGCCAGTGCATCCAGTTAAGACACAAAATAGTACCACAACAGGTTAGAATAAAATAAAAATAAAAGTAAAAAAGTTTATGTGAAATTCGTAAGTAAGTGAATAAATAAACAAAAATTAATAGAGTAATATGGTATCGTATCCATAACAAGAAACCCAGTGTTAGAGCCGTCCGACTGCTGTCGTCCCGTCCAGTCCTGTCTTTTGCCGTCCTGACCCTATCTTGGACCGACTGGAACCACTGCTCAGCATAATGATTTACATATTAGTCATGCATTGTCCAAACCTCATATCCCCTTTCAGCCGTTGTCACAAAATTTTACCAACTCCGATGATACTCCCACAAATTGTTTTATCATTTTTTCATTCACTGGCACTCTTGAAAGAATATCATGGCCCCAACCACACAGGTCAGGATTGGTGATGGCAGTTCTCACAGCGGTAACTTAACGGGTAATTTCAGCAGGAGCAAATCGTATGTAAGTCCGACGAGGATACGCAGATTATGCGTTGGCTGTCTCCACTGGACCTAAATGATGGGCATGAGGGCGTGCGCATTGACCTGTTGGACCGTGTTCGGGATTGGCCTTTGTGGGGGGGGTTTAGGAGTGGAGGGGAGTTAAAGGTGGAGTCGGTGAGACTGTCATGTTTCGCAGTGAGAATCTGGGACTAAAGTAAGTGGTGTGGTTCTTTATAAAAGAAATAAAAGAAGGAAAAATTGCTGACTGTTGGAAATAACAGTTCGGTGGTAATTGAAATCCTTTGCCATCACGCAAGCAAGGAGGATATCGCCGTTGCGGGCTTGTACTCGGACTTCCTTGCTCAGGAAGAACAAACAATCCCAAACCTGATGGGAGCTATCTTGAACCAGCTGGTAGGCGGAGGGTTCATCCTAAAATATTTGTGCGAGGGGTTCCAAGAAGGGGAAGGGGAACTTGGTGGTAGAGTGCTGCGGCTTCTAGATCTGATGGGAATGCTGAGGATTACTATTGCCTCACTACCCCGGGTCTTCATCTGTATTGATGATTTGCTAGACGAATGTTTACCCAAGCATCTGCCAAAGCTGTTGGAGTCGGTGAGAGTTATTGCTCGGGAGTCCTCTGGAGCACGAATATTCCACACGGACATGGCTCATGTCGCGGCAGACATACAAGGACATCTCAGCGAGGCTGTTGTAGCACCTGTCATCCCTGCCAGGGGTGAATTTGTGAGTTGTCTACGGGTGAGGTTGTACTAGTGATGGCCACGATCAGATCATGCTCGATCACCCTCCATCATAAGGGTAACTCGACCAGGGGTACTGCTTGATCATGCTCGATCATGATTGGTCATGATCGATCACTCTATCTATATATGTATATACCTGTATCAATCTTGGTAATCATGTGATATCACCTATTTATATAAACACTCTCTACGCCGCACACTCGATAACCTATACTCGAAAACACACTCTATTATTGATTCTTTAACACATTTTACCTCCCACTTCTGTTGCCTAAAATGTCCTCGCTCTCATAATCTCCTACGACATGCCGGGCGTCATAGTTGATGCCCGTACGCTTCAAAATATCCCACAACATCTACACTTCTTGCCCGTTTCCGAATCCGTCGTGGAAGGCTATCGCCTCCGGAGTGCGACCATAAGGATCCAGTCGCTTAACTAAAGGCAAACGGGAGTGACTCGAACCGAGTCCATTCATACTCACACAGGAAGCGGGGGGGTCCTCAAGCACCTAGTCGGTTCTTTGGTATAAAGGAATATAGAATATTGATGTTGCGATGATTGTCGAAACCAACTCAAGTTTTAAATTGGTTAAGAGTAAGGATTTTCCGCGTGCTATTAGCATACCGTGATGGTGAAGAAAAGTTGACGAGTGGCAGGCTAGACTTGAGCTAATCAACTATACTCGATTAGTGGGCATGCTCGATCACTGCTTGATTACTCGATCAGGGTCTACCAATTTGATCGATCGATCGATCATGGGGTCGCCCCGATCAAGTCATGCTCAAGCTGAACCCCAATGATCTGCTCGATCATGATCTAGCCCATCGCTGCATGGAAAGCCGCAAGGTCTTGAAAAACCCTGGAGGAATTAGTCCTCAAGTGAGGGAAGCTCTCTCTTGAAGTATCGTGGTTTGTGGCTGTTTTGGTATCGCCATGGTGAGTGGACAGGAGCTCGCGCGCTTTACTACTGATCGTGATTTAAAACGCGTACTGTGATGCCGGGTTTTCACTG